AAAACAGCATCAGAATACACACTTGTATTTAAAATACCTTATTTTAGATTTTCTATTTTAGGTACAAATTGTGTGTTCTTCTAAAATATGCTTCATCACACAGTGTACTCATTAGTGTATGCCTAGCCACTTTGTCAGAGTCAGTTAATCATATATTCCCACATCCAAGAAGGGGGAGTCCCAAGCTGTCCACCTGCCTGATATTTCTAGTTGCTACTGACCTTCCAGAGTCTAAACTATCTGCAACCCATGCAGGTACTTGAGGACTTTCTCTGCACTACCTGGGGACATTGGCTTAGAAAATGGATGGCAGTTTAGGACAAAGGTAGGTAAGGGCTGCTTATCACTATGCACTGCAATCCTTTACAAGGAGAGCATCTGACCAGAGGATAATTCGCAGAGCATCTTCTGTTTCTGATCAGTCCAGGGGAGGAAGGCAGCAGTTTTTATCCACCCATCTCAATAAAGCCATGCTGCCTCAGTTAATAGTATTCATCCAACTGGAAAAGGTTGGTTAGTTGCCTAGCGGTCATCGATAAGCCATGTTCCAAACACAACAGGTCCTCTTGTTTATTTAGCATCTACATGTTTGCCACGAACAAACATCTGCCACGTCAGCAATAGAAAGTGTGGGGAAACATGCTGAATTCAGGCTGCAGATGTGAGAACCAGAGCTTGAGGTGCCCTTCTTTTTAGAAAGGAATGTTGAGAAGGCATCATCGTGGCCAGATCTAAAGCTATCCAAAGTAGGTTAGGCTCTTCTGATCCTCTAGCTGTAGAAATCTTGTTTGTATACATAATTCAACAAGTAGCTGAACTAAACCCTTAGACCTCCTAATGTTTTCAATCCCAATGCAGAAGCCAACTAGCACTCGCCCAACTCTGAATATCTAATGCCAGTAGTGTACAGATACGTTAAAATTTTAAGAAGATTTAGTTTTTATGCAATCCGCATGGAAGTTTTTCTTTTAAACAATGGAATTTCAACTGAAGAAGCAACCTAAGAGGAAAACTGAGCTTCTTGGGGAAAACTCAGGCAGTGTTGGGGCAGTTTTAATTTCTGCCCATAGTAAGCCAACAAGCAAATTCGTTTTTATGTAGACATGTAGTTGCAGTAGATGAGTAGAAGCGTGCATGCACCAGATGGCAAGCTGCAATGATGGAGCAGAGCTGTTAAAAATGAAAACACTCAAGATTGAAATGCACTGAAACTAAGTGTTAAGAGCAACAACGAATAAGGGGACATTGCTGTTTCATTATTTACTTTGTAGCTCATACTATAAACCCGACTTCCTCTCAGATACCCTCTCTCTGAGAATAGTGTACAGAATTTCCCCTTTGGAAAGACATGTTCCTTTTTCAAGTACATGGTATGTGCTTTTGTTTCTTCTTCACCAAACAGCTTAGTTTCAGCAAATAATTCCTTTGTCTCTGCTACCAAAGTTCGGGAATTTGAGAATATTTGAGCTATATTTGTTATTAAATAGAATATAGTAATATTCCCTCACATCAGGTAGTCTTATTGTTTATTTTCATGAATTTTTCATTACTGCTCTTTGCCTACATATATACATTTTTGCATTGCTCAAGACTGGTTTTCTGAATAAAATTACTATCTATGATACCACTATTTCCAGATTAGTGGCTCCTTTGGATCATTTGAAATAACTAATTGATTGATTGTATTTTTGTCTCATCTCAAATGTTTCATCCCTTTAAGTTGACTTTATCCCAGGTCAACATCACTGCTAAAACTTTGGGAGACATGTCCAATATGTGTCCTAGATAAAATCCTTGCCTATTAAGACACTAATTTCTAGAGATGAGCTTTCTGATATAGTATCTCACACAGATGGCTATTTAAATTAAAATTATTTAAAATAAACAGTATTTTTCCTCAGTTAAGTAGCCATATTTCAAGTGCTGATTGGCCACATGTGACTAGAACATTTCTACCACTATAAGGTTCTACTGGGCAGATTTTGTGTGGATAAACTCTTGATTTTTGGGGGGGGACCTTTGGGAGCTTGGTCATCAGAAACACCAATGTTTGGAGGTACATGAATCTCCTCCTACGGTTAGGCAAATACCTATTCAAATTACTTACGGTATTTTAGGGAGTGTCTACACAAAATCAAAAGCACTAAAACAATTTTTAAATTGTTTTGGACTGTTTATAAGACAAGGACTATTTGATTTCATTTTTTTCCCCTGAAATGTTTATTTTTGCTCTGTGTAGACACCAAAACATCATTAACAAAACCCAACAAAACTTTTTCATGGGAAGGCACCAAATGAATTCCAAATGGAATAATTGTCATGATTGGCATAGATAATAAGTTATATAAATTTTTGAGTAAGTAAGATGAGGCCTCTACCTGGGCAGCCTTCTTTGAGCCCAAGTTACTCCTATCTTTGTAGACAACACAACAACAATAATACTTTTCCCAGCACATTTAACTAAAGAGTCTGCAGCACACATCATTACATGCTTTATATGCAACCTGAATCATCAGTTGAGGAAGCCAAAAGAGTAATTTCTGTTTTGGAATTATGACATGACACTTACATTCTTAGGAACAGAGCAGCGAAGAGAAGTAGGCGTGGATTTGGGAGTCAGACCTGGGTTTCAGTCCAACCTCCACTGCTAACTAGATGTACGACTTTGGTAATGGCAATTAATCTCACTAAGCCTGGGTTTCTTCGGTAAAAAGAACAATTCTCCTACAGAGGTACCGTGAGGGGTAAGAGATCTTGCACACAAAGCATTTTGGATAATGCCTATTTCAAAGGGTAGCTGATGCAAGAATTACTGGTAGTATCAGTGTTACTATTAGTACTAGTGTCAGTATTAGTGTTAGTATTAGCATTTTACAACCACTATTGTATCCAAAACAGCTTCAGCAAGAATAGAACCTAATCATTAAACGTTAATAATAGTAGAAATGTTATTTGAAAGCTAATTATTTTTAAGTAGCAAAGTATTGAATTGTCCAAATTCAGAACTTCTAACGTGGTCATTTTTTTTTCAATACATACAGACTTTTGACCGTATTTTCTTCTTACTGATTTTTAGGCATATCTAGTAAAATTGTGTGTGTGTGTGTGTTCAGATATAAATGTAAAACACTTAATGGAGTGTCTCTGGGATAAAAGTTTTATAAAATGCAAGTCTGGCAAGGGGTCCTATAATAAAACACTACAGAAGTATAAATGTGCAGGTATATTTATCAACACAAGTATGCGTAAAAATAGATGCTTATGCATATATATTCATGGAAATATTTCTTTTTGGGCATCAGTTGCATCTACCGCCAGACAGCCTTTAACTGTACCATCACATCCACATAACCAATCATATTAAAATGTACTTTTCTGCTTTTTAAGGAATGAAAGGACAATAACAATTGATTATTATTTTCTAGATGCATAATGTTATGACACACTTATGACATAAATATTAGTGGCTCCATTTTAAATATGAAGATGCTGAGCTTTAGGATAGCTCAGTGATTCTCAAAGCCACACATCTGGGAAGTGGAGTGGTTAGGATTTGAACCCAGGTCTGTCTCAACCCGGAGCCTCTTCCGACATCACATCAAATACCACAGGATTCACTATCCACTTGCCCTCCTCTCAAATGACCATTTGCTCTGAAGACACAAGAACAGAGGCTATATCTATTTCTCCTTTCTCTTGGTGTGGTCTTTGTCCTTCCTCTTGCTTTGTCCCAGAGTCCCTTCTATTAAAAGGTCCAAGTGAACCCCACGATATTGTTAACAAGCCTTTGTAACCCTGTCTACATATTCTCAACAAGTTTCACAATATTCACTCAGCCAACTGCTTAGAAATGGAGAGGAGCCAAGATCATGGATCTTTGCACAGTATTTGTCAGGAACAAACTCTCTTGCCTCCTGGTCTTCAAAGATCTCTCTCTTACTTGCAGAGTATAAAGGATTACCTCAGAGTCTTTAGAAGAGGGATTCCTTTCTGCTTGGCGAGAAGACTTTGTCTATGACAAAATCAGTTCATAACTGAAAAAATGTCTTGAAGGATTTAATGAACAACCTGAATCCCCCTCTACTTTTTAAAACAGAAAGTATTATCAGCGCTCGAATTTGCCACAATTCTATTTGGAACTGGTCAACTCATTCCTAGAAAACAAATCCTGGAAGTAGTATTTTTAATCTAAAATGCACTCTTACCACCATATCATTAGTAAAATTGGCAAGGGGGAATTCTATGTGTTTAACCTCTAGTTAAACAGTCTTGTTTTCTTAAATAAGTATGCGTATGTCCATCTTTTTGGAGTCATTTGCAGGTGTTACTAGAGGCTACCCAGGGGTTGCAGATATGCCATGTGTCATGTCAGATGTGACATTTCACCCTTAATTCCCTCCCTAATATTTTGTCTTTCACGGAATTAAACTGTGCTGCTGTGGCATGGTAGATGTTTTTCCCATGTGGGGATGTTACGACCATGGTAGTACTCAGCCTGTATACTTAGGTGTTTTCTTGTTTCTAGAAAGCTGCTTAGTTAAGAATCATAACCTTCTCTATATTCATTTTCCAGTGAAAAGAAGTTTTGCTTTCTAAGTTATTAAATATTCCAGTTTTATTCCCACTGCTACAGTTCAGTCAGGTGTTAAAGCTTCCCTACTGGGAACTGTTCCCCTAACATGAGGAGAGCAAGAAAGGTGGGTCACAACCCAACAGGTATGTTCCTGTTGATTGGAGGGTTTGGTACCAATGAATAAGAAGGAAGGGGGAGATTTCACACTTCAGAAGCGGAGTCTCTAAAAGCTTTTCTCCCCAGGGGGAGCAAAAGTGAAATGGGGGCAAGAATAAGACAAACTCTTAAGAGCAAAGGTTAGCATTCACCCAGGAACCCACTCCATTAAGACAAAAATGGATACCGTATTTCTCCAAAGAAAGACAAACTCATACCACAGTTCCTAGAGCTTCCGGATGTAGGAGGGGAAGTTGAAAGGAAAGGAAAGTTACTTACTGTTTGGGTCTACGTTTTCACAGAGTTCTGTCTTTGCCTCACCGTTGGGTCTGTCACTGGGTTTGTGTGACAGCCGCGACGACATGGTGGCTGCCGTGACTACCGCCTTGAAGCTTCGCTTCCGCTTCTGGACATTGAGTTCAGGGTGGAAAATGATGATGTACACTTTCGGCATGTAAAGCATCCCCAGAGCCACTGACGCACTTAGGTTCATGGAGATTGTAAGTGTGGTAGTTTGTATGTAGAGCTAGGAGACACAACACACAAGACACTATTACAAATAAAATGACTGCAAAGGAAGTCTGAATACTTAACACATGACATCAAGAATGACTTTGGCTAGGAGAGAAAACATAGCCATCTCCAGGGCCATCTCATTAAAAAAAAAAGAAAGAAAAAGGAAAAAAGGAAGTCAATATAACTTGGTACATTTATTGGAGAGTTTTGCCTATATTAATTGATCGAAAGCCTTTGGGTGAATCTGTGTGCATGGTTGCCCTGGAGAAGTCTCCTACACAGAAGTTCATAGTAGTAATCAGAGTTGAAGTACTTTCAATCAGAATGGCAGATGAATATGAAGACGTGAAAATCACGTCTTTTTGGGCATTTGTAATCTTGATTAAGGGTGGTTATTTTTTATCTCCCATATATACACAAAATGATTAAAATACACGATTTCTTGCTACACAAAGACTCTGGGACCTTTGAAAGTTATGTTAATATATGTCCCTTTTGTATTATTATTTTTTCTAACTGTTCACCTTCACCATACCTACAAAGTAGTGAGTTAAGTTGCCCTGAAAAGTCAGTCCTTCTTGCTTAGTTCTGATTTACAAAACACTGATGGCAAGGGCCCAAGATCTAGTGATGTTGGCTTGTCCAGTCTCTTTATGTTGACAAATTGCTAATAGGGTGCAAAACCATCCTGACACTATGTTATTTGTGGTGTGGATGGTGTCTCCATAACTCTCCTTGTCTCCTTTGGCTCCCTTGAAAAATCAGTAAACAACCATTCACCAGAGCCTCAGTTTGAAATACAATTCAGAAGTATCCAGGCAGCCAATAGTTCTGACGAAATACTTGTATGTTTAGAGAAAGACTGTTGGAATCACAGGTAGGAAAAAGACACCCATTACACGAACAAGTGAGCTCCTCCATCGTGTTTATGTAAGTGCCTCCTGTTTGTCAGCACTGCAGACACAACGATGCACCACAGACGCTTGTTCCCGCCTTCCTGGTGCTTGTGGCCTAGTCAGGGAGAGATGGTCAGATGATTGGGGCAAAAGGTATATAATTACAAGCAGAGACCAATGATATAATGAAAACAGTTCTCTGCGTGTATAAGTAAGGAAGCTGGCCTAGACTTGGGGCTGTAGGTAATTACTGTGTAGTGTGTTAAATCACTGCCTTGGTTATAAATGTGAAAAGATGGTGGAAGGGCATGGGGATTTGTGAGATCAGTAAGGAGAAAACTACAGACAGCTTGCCTTGGTCCAGTTGTGTTTATGAAGTGCCCTTTTTTGTGATCTGGAGCCCCACCCCTCTATATTTAGATATGTTTGCCTTTTGCATGACTTCTAAAGGCTAGATTAAATGTGAGGTGATGGATGTGTTAATTAACTTGATGTGGTAATTATTCAATTATACATATATTAAATCATCACATTGTATGCCTTAAAAAGGATCATGTTATATGAACCTGAATATATACAGTTTTTGTTAATCATACCCTAGTAAAGCAATAAATAAAGGAACACATTCATTCATTCATTCATTCATTCATTCATTCATTCATAAAATTTCAATCACATTAAAAAAATGAATAGATGCCATGGCCTTTTGTGTCCATGGAAAGCCGATGATATATTTATTCAATCATTGTATTCCATAACTTCCATAACTAGGTCTTCCCATTGATCAGAGGATAAAATCCCCAACCTTAATGGAGTCTACAAGGCTGCACATAGTCTGCCCCCTGCCAACTTTTTCAGACTCATTTGCCACCACTTTCCCCCCACCCTTCTTCCCAGGTCACCATCCATATGGACACTCCTTTAGGTCTAGAAGATGTTGTGTTCATTCAGCCACATTTAATACATTTAATACATGTAATATTTATTTTTGTTTTCCTCTGTATGGAATGATTTTCCTCTGCTTCTTAGAACATCCATCCTAGGCTTCCCTTGCCTACAGCCCCAAGTCTAGGCCCACTTCTTTACTTACACACGCGGAGAACTGTTTTCATTATACCATTGGTCTCTGCTTGTAATTATATACCTTTTGCCCCAATCATCTGACCATCTCTCCCTGACTAGGCCACAAGCACCAGGAAGGCGGGAACAAGCGTCTGTGGTGCATCGTTGTGTCTGCAGTGCTGATAAACAGGAGGCACTTACATAAACACGATGGAGGAGCTCACTTGTTCGTGTAATGGGTGTCTTTTTCCTACCTGTGATTCCAACAGTCTTTCTCTAAACATACAAGTATTTCGTCAGAACTATTGGTTGCCTGGATACTTCTGTATTGTATTTCAAACTGAGGCTCTGGGAAGAAATTAAAAGAGACTTTGCCATCTCACGTGGAAGGAATACAGTTTTCTAACAAATGTTATTTTGAATGTGCATGTCTTTGAATGGTTTTAAGGAACCTCCAGCGGCTAACTGTATAATACGTAATGAATGTAAAATAGAAAGACAAAACAATATTGAATTAATGATCCTTTTGGTTGTGAATCAGACTGTATTTTAAAAGCTTATCTTCTCCTATTGGAATACTTTCAGACTTTGAACTCCTTTCCACCGTGCTAACCTACACCATTTAAGAAAGGCTTACCATGGTCACAAGGCTTTAAGGACCTAGGCAATGTTGCTTCCTTCTTTCATGATCCCTGCTGTCATCCTACTAATGAGACTTTGCAAATCATGGTTTAGCAGTCCAAAAAAGAAAATGATATAATTTGACCTATGGTTTTGTTTCTGTTTCTCTGTTCATGAGCAAATTCTACAGTTGAAGAAATCATCCACAGTTTATTATTTAAACATAACTATAAATGATATATGTACATATGCTTCTGTATGTGTGTGTCTCTGTGTATGTACACACTTTTTCTTAACAAAGACTACTTAGCAATTTAAGACCTCAAAACCTATGATGTTCATTTTATGGAGTGTTTTATTTTTATTTCATTATTCTCAAATTAGAGCCCATTGAGACTTGATATTTTGTGTTGAAACTTTTGCAGTCTCTGGTGAACTTCAGAAGTATGTGAAAACCAACATGAATGCCACTGACCAAATTCCTACTCCCACATTTCCTCTTTATACTGCATGGTGTTTAAGAATGAATGATCTGAAGCTCATCTGAGGTTCGATTCCCATTTCCTAGTTCTCTGACCTAGGGCAAAAAATTTGGCCTCTCTGTGCCTCAGCTTTTGCATCTGTAAATGGGGATGATAACAGTACCTACCTCATAATGTTGTGTTGACAATTAAATCAGTGTTTGTAAAGTATTTAGGCTCAGACCCAGCAATACTATAAAAGTATTTTGGAATAAGTATATAGGTATAAAGATAGGAAGGCTTTAGTCTACAGGGATTCCAGAGGCATTGGTCCACAAAGCTTCAAACCCACCAAGCCCCAGGAGAGGACCCAAGTCACTGTCTCTTTGGCCTTTGGTGGGAGGCTCACCTTTTGACTGTGTTTATTCTAACATCAGCTTTTAGTATATTCTTTATAACAAATTATAACCTATTTATTTTTAGTCTTGAGGCTATTCTTATTTTACCTGCTGCTTACTGTAAAATACATTACCCTGTTTATTTAACCTTGGGTATTTGACAATATTTTATCTTCTTTATAATTTCTTTAGCAAGGTCAAGGCATTGGTGATCACTGTTGGTCCTTTTCATCAAAACAAGAGGCCCCTGACACATGGTTTTACTGAGATCAAGCATCTCCCCAGGGCTGGCATTCAACTAAACCTCATCCCATTCTGGCTGTCTGAGGATAAGCCCCAGGGGAGCTAAGTCTTCCCACCTTGGCCAATCCTCCATGACTCAGGATGCAGATTGCCTTGGAAATTCCATGTGTTTTGATAATTAAGCTTTAATTTTATCATCACTCTAAACGAATTTCCAGAATCTAGTTTCTGCTCCTTGGTTGAATGTGGCTTTTCCAACACCCATCATATATAATTCAGCTTATATAACCAAATAGCATTCAGGCAAGGAATTTACAGTACATATATTCTAGAACAGTGTTTATTTTAAAGTCTAATCCATGGAATTTGGGGCTATTATTCTCTCTGTCAGTTTCCTCATTTGTAGAATGAAGACAATAATGATTCCTACCTCATATGGTGGTTTTGAAGATCTAATAAATATATGAAAAATGCTTAGCATAATGCCTAGGAAATAAGTACCCATGAAATGTTAACTACTTATTATTATAACTACTTTTTATTAAAACTACTATTTATATTCGCTTAATATTTATTTAGATTAGGTTGTTGGAGTGCACATCTCAAGATGAAGGCTCAACCATTTTCATTTATTTAAATAAATGTCTTTTTACATGTCTTTTTTTTTTTTTTTAACATATGTCTTATTGATTAACTAGGTTGTAGTGTCTAAAACACGAGGCCTATTCGTGTCTGGTCTGACTGAAATGTACCAGCAAGTATACTGTTAGGTATATGCTTAATTTAATGCCAGACAAAGCCCACCTGAATCTTTTTCATCTTGGTCTAAGTTCATTATCAGATAAAATGCTAATCCATATTACGAGATGCCATTATTGTTTTGTAAGATGGTGTAACACTACGGTTACTTGAGTTCTCTTTGTCTAACTTTTTATTGCTAAGATACTAAGAAATTTGAAAAGTGGTCAGATAGTGCTCATGAGCAACTTTGAAATTTGCCAATTCTTCTGTGTAAATTTATTTTGAGAGATTTCAAGGCAAGCTATTGAAAGTTGTAATAGTGACAGGCTTCAAACTTTGAACATCATAGTATTTGAGATACGATCCAAAGAATAATGAGAAAAAGTAAGAAGTAAAGAAAAAATTTGTAGGGCACAGAGACAGATACAAAACTGGATCAGGAAAAACTCAATTTCAGGTTTTTGAGTTCATCAAAATACTCTCATCATTACTACTGCTGTCCTTAGAAGTAAATACTACACAAATGAACTCACAATATATTTATACTAATGAATTACCAGCTTTATCTGTAAAAATACTATATTAGAA